TGTCCTGTGACAACACCGACTCTGAAATGATCTCGCGGCCAACGAGGCAGATGGAATTTCCACATCAAACACATAGAAAGGTCACCCACTTTTTCTGTGGCAGAAATAAATGAGATAAGGGGGGAAAAGAGAAAAACAAGTCCTGGATGTTATTTTCCTTTCAAGATATAAATAAGTGCCAGTGAGGAGGGGCTGTTGAACGAGAAGACAGTACAGAAAGAATTACGAGCTGGGCAATAACTCCTGGAGCTGTGTTTCCAATCGCAGCAGATACTGGGCACGTCTGGCTACCGAGCTCTCGAGATGTGGCTGGTCAAAATGACTGTAACGTACATGCTGGATTTTTAAGATTCAGCACAAAAAGACTAGCTCGTTAATAATTATGTTATTACATGTTGAAATATTTTAGAAATACCAGACCAAAATATATATTATAATTAATTTCGCCAGTTTTTTTATTCTATTGTGGCTACTAGAAATTTGAAAGTTAACACATGTGGCTGGCAATTTCATTCTTATTGGACGCTGAGTAGAAAATACCCTATGACAGGAAACGGCAGACAACACTTAACGACTTACTACGTGCACTGTGCTTTCCACATTTACTATACCATTTCTTTGAAGATGTTTTTGGAAAAACACCAAAATAAAAATAGGATTCCAAAACCTAACTTGATAAAACATCTTCTTCACCTTTCACTGAGCCAGTTTTAAACTCCTCTGCTTGGTAATTTGAAACAGAATCACCCTAGTTTCGGTTTAAATAATCACCGCTTTATTTTGACAATATCTATAAAGATGTTTCCTGCTTTGCCCCTTGCTATTAGTTTCAGTTTGACAACCTGCTATCCATCCAGTCACTACTATTTTTATAATCCCAAAAGATTTTCTTCTTTTACATGCCAAGCCTTAGGGTGTACCTACCAGATTAGTTGGTCGTTATAGAGAAAGGCAGTGTATTTGACTATACTCAGGCTTTCCTCCATTCTATTAATAAAGGACTGGATTTTCAAATAAGTCATTTTATCCAATGGGAAGAAGCTGATTCCACCAAAAATGTCAAGTAGATCGCATGACTGCAAGTGCAACGTTTGCAAATACTATAGGAAAAATAAGGCATAACATTTATTTGAATCTTTTTCTTAATAGTACTCTTTGACAACTGAAATTAATTAGTCTTAACTTATGTACAATTATATACTAGCAAACAGCATACCGACAAGACCAACAGGTAGGTGAGCCATAGATAACTGGATTTGAAAATACAAAGTTCCAAATCAATATCAAGTTTCGATTCAATTTCAAAATATAAAGTTCAAACGCAGCTAGTTAATGTTTATTCAGTAGAGTGTTTTACCTCTTTAAAGTATTTAATTCCTTATATTAGGGCTCAAATTAGGTTAACCTCATTAGGGACCCATACAGCGATATCACGGACAGACAGTGTCATCTTACACTAAAATCATGTTAGAAGGACATGCGGTCAGTTGTACCCACTGATGTGTAAGAGAATGAAAAAGACAAAAACAGGAATCAGGAGATATTATGAGAGTGAATAATGATGTTCACTAAAGTGAACAAATAAGAAAAGTAATTCACAAAACCAAAATAATTTAAAAATAGATATCAAAGGTCATTCAGGGAGAAAATAAACCGGATTTGACCAGAGGTTGGATGAGATATGCAAAATCAATTTACAGAGAAAAAGAATGGCAACTATTTAGGGACATTCATTTATCACTTGGGTAAAATCACACTAATAACCCCTAATGTGATATAAAGTCTGTGTCATAGCCAAATACTTTTATCTTCAGTCAACAGACTATGCCTGTTTAGTGAACAGAATCAATACACAAGAACGTGCGACTCAGCTGAAGAGTTTAATTTTGCTAGTGAACCAATCTACCACACAGTAAGTTCACTTTTGAGGAAGCCCACTCTGATAGATGCAGGCGGAATAAGGATGAAGCAAAAAGATGTTTCAAGACACTTTAAGTAGCTGTGCACAAATGGCAAGGTGCAATGATCCTGCACAAAAGGTCAGAAAGGTTCAAGGGCACGAGTCTGATGAGTTTCCACACTGGTCTGGTTTTGCCACAATTTTCAAGCTGAGCTTTTTGCGTGTGAGAAACAAACTTGTCTGTATACTTCTCTAAGGGGCTATTTGAACACTACCAAAATTATAAATAAAATTCAAAATACTTACCCGATGGAAGAATTTCTCTAATCTTTCTTTTAGGAGCTTGACACCTCCATCTTCCATGGCTCTCAAAAATGTACCATTAAAAAGCTAATGGTGTAAAAGATTTTAAAAAGTCAATTCCTATGCCCTTCAATTACCCAGTCTAACAAGTTCTTTTAATTACTATGGCTTATTTAATTTCTCCAGTGTCTTTTATATACAAAAGATATTTTTATGAGAAAGGATGAGTTATAAGTCACAAAAAATTAACACACTGTTAAGTGATGTTATAATTTTTATGAAATCACCTGTTTTGGGCATGATTTTAACCTTCACTCATACCTAAATTCAGCTTTACATAAAATAACCAGACTTCTTAAACCATGTAAATATCTGCAGTATGCATTTCCTTCAAGAACATGGACTGTCTTGTTCACCAATGGGAATACATTCCTAGTACAAGGCCAGGAATAGAGCAGGACTCAAACTCTGAATATGTGTACACATAAACTTCAATACTGTTCCAAAGGACCCATTATTTCCTCCCATAAAACAGACAGTCACCTTGCGGTCATCTAAAGAACTGAGAACTATTTTTAAACAACTCCTGTAAATAGGGGTAACTGGTTAGCTTTAAATCAGAAAGAATGTCATGCTTACCTTGTACATGCTGTAGCATTGCTGGAGCACTGAGCTATAAACCTTGTCCTACAAACAACACAAAGACATGGCATGAGATTCTATTCAAAGGAAAAAATTTGATTATACAGCAGAGGTACAGTGACCCTTGGCGAAGCAGTATGCTTATAAACCTGGTCCCACAATAGTTGTGTCCCGAAAAAAGAGGTATTTAAATTTGATTATAAACCAATGAGCCTGATTTTAGGAGTGCTTTTAAACACAGATGATTAGTAGAATGCATTAGTGAGGTAAGGTGTATAAACATTTTTATAAGATTGTGCTAATGTAAACAACAGACATAAAACTTCATTGTGTACCCTGAGAAACTTCTGCAAAAGCGACATGGCTTAAATTTGACCAAGTCACCCAACATAGTAATACGTTTTCTAAAAATGTGAAATAAAAAACGACACCTTACCAACAACTCCTCCTCTTGATATTCAACAACTGGTTTTCCATCTTTACTTTGTTTTTCAATGATAGGATTCCGAACCACCTACAAAATTTGATTAACTGATATTACATAAGGAATCAATTATATGTGCTTTTCATTTCTCCTAAATTAAAAAATGTATACATGTCGCAACTTCTTAAAACACAAACACAGAAACACAACTTCTTAAAACAGCCCCAAGAACAAATACACCAAATAGGAGTTTGATTAGAAAGCTGCAACCAACTTTATTGTAATTTTACTTTGATGCAACAGCCAGAGGACTTTCCTAAATTCCTAAATGTAAAGATCACCCATAACTTTCCTATACAAATTAAAAAAGATGTACTATGTGTGTAAATACCATGACCATCCAGAAATTTTCTTCTGGTTCATTGAAGAACTGTCTATTCTTCTGTGTATGTAAAGATTTTGCAGGTTTTGATGGACTAAAGGTCCTAAAAAGATTAAAAGAATATGTTGGGGACAATTATCCAGTATAAAGTGTAAGAATTCACTGAGCTTTGCAAATGTACATTTAAAAACATTACCTTGTAAACTGTACAATAGCTTCACATAATCCGACATTTCTAATTTTTTCATTCTTCTCTACTTCATTTGGATAATAAAACAAAATTTTATTTTCCTCCTAAAATATGAAGAAACAGAATCACATTAACATAAACACTTTTTCACATTAGCTGTTGCAAATGCTAAGTTTAACATCAACCTCTCATGTCATACATACTAAAGGTAAACAACAAAACCTCAAAATAAAAAACTTCTAGCGAAACAATTGTCTTCTCACTGTGTAAATAACGCCCACCAGCCTGAAAGACAATTAAGTCACACGTCATCTAAAGTAGCACTAAATAGTTCCTCTGAAATTCCATATTTGGAGTCCTTTCCTCACGTTAATTTATAATAAATACACCAACGCTTGCAAAACATAAGCGTGTGGCCTGCGCAGGTGCATAAACTTACACCTCCTCCCAAATTAAACCCAGCAGGTTCACCGATATTTAGACTGACAGCCTTTAAAGGACTGTGATTTGCTGCCAATAAAACGTAACTCTGGACATCCTTTGAGGAAGTCACTGTCCCCACCTAAAACAAAAAAACAAAACAAAATAAAAAAAACTCCTTCAATTTATTTACTTATTAACTCGGAAAAAAAACTTTCCGAGGGTCCTCCACGCCTGCATTATTCTAGGGCTACGGTGCACCGTCCTTGTTCCACGCTTCTCCTAGTTGGAAACTTCCAGTAAGAGACATCAACTCAATTTTAATCACTCAATTTTAATCACGGAATTGCTGCAAAGTGAAAACAGACTCCACCTGCGTGGAGTGATCAGCGTGACAAACCTTCATTCAACACACAAGCATGGAGCCGGGACCTGAAACAGACGCTGCCTACGTCTGGCCCCCGCGGGACCCCCGGGGCCCGGGCGCACACCTGGAGCAACCTGGGTCAATGCTGGAGGAGCGCAGAGTGACAGGTGCTGCCCCGCGCCGGCCGGGGCCGCCTCCCAGGCGCACCCTG